ATCTACACTGTCGCCAAAGGAAATGTAACAACTATAAAATATTACAGCCTGGGTGACATTGTAAATCTATTAACAACAAGAGAAATATGTGTAAAATCTTTGTCCCCTTTGGATTCGGATGCGTTTTCTTGGCTGGTGTGACAGACCTCAGATTCAGTGGCGTTGAAGGCTATGGGCTTCGTGGGAACCCCCCCCCACAGCAGGGTGAAGGTCTCCATGCTGCTTCGCCCTTTAGTGATTTCTGCCACAGAGATGTTGGCGTCCAGGCCAAAGACCTCATAGCCCAGAGGTCCGAAGTCCCCTGGAGGCGGAGAAAGAGAGGGTCAGCCTCTACTGGTCCCGTGGGCCCAACCGGCCTCGGATTTGCCGGGTTACCTCTGTCTAGGGTTGTCACGATACTAACATTTTCAACTCGATACCGATACTCAGGAAAATACTCGATACTCGATACCATTTTCGTTACCACAAGGATAAAAACAAAGACCCCAAAATTTAACAGAATTTTGACAGGTTAGTGTCTTTAATTTCAAACTGACCTGTTACTGATGTTATTGTGAGTGGTGGCCCGCATTAATGACCCTAATCCTGACCCTGACCCTAACCCTAACCCTCCACCCTTCATAGATGTGAGAAATAAATATTTTTTGGGTTAAACTTGTTTGGACTTATTGTACAAACCTCTTTAACATACACTATTTTACCTTAATAATATGTATAGAGTTTAATCAAGTGTTTGAAAGATTAATTTCACCATTTTTAAATTAATATCTATATTCCCATGAGGCAATTACGATTTTCTTGCCTGGAATCTTCCGATTGGTGACGTAATCAAAATGGTCGACTTGGATGTGGGCGGAGTTTGCAGCCAGACGTATTTGATTAATGTTGGCGTGTTATTACTAGCCATTAGCCGCAGCTAGCAATTCAAGGCTAACGTCTTGTTAATGATCATAAACAACGTAAATAAATACATAAATAAATAAGAGAGAAGGGGCGCAGCGACGGCAGGTACTTTTGAAAATGAGTATGGTATCCGGATACAACATTTTAGTATCGATACTTTTTTGAGTATCGATACTTTTGACAACCCTACCTCTGTCCGAGCTGAATGTGACCGTGTAGTGGGACACCTGGCCGGCCTCCTGCCGGGCCACCTGGACCGAGTCGGGTCTGATGGACCACAGGTCGTTCAGGGCCGCTTCCACCTGGGCTGCTGAGGCGCCGACGGGGACGGGTCCTGAGGGCCAAACGCCAGACTCGTGAGGATCTGAAAGCTCTACATGCTCCAGTTTCCTGACTGCCCAGAGCACCCAGTGTCTGGTAGTTGTGTCATTTATGTTTATTGATTAATGTTAAATCTTTAAACTCCAGCTTTTACTGCTTTTTTACAGTTTGAAATCCAAAGGAAAATGCTTTTAGACATTTTACACCAATCATGTTCTTATTGTGGAATTAAAATGTTGTAAATAAGTCATTTGGACCCTCAGAACCAAATAGCAAAAACATTTAATTAAATCTCTAAACAGACATTTTAAATCTAAAGATAAACCCACTGAGCCTCTATGAAGAAAAACTATCTGTTCCAGGACAAAGTCTAGTTATTAAACTTATAAGCTCCTCCTGATCCAGACATCTGGAACTAAGCAGAAACCAGATAGAAGCTTTTGGCTTTCAGTTGGGTGAAATAAACCCTCTTTTTGCAGGTCGCTTTGGATAAAAGATGCAGGCCGGCGTGTTTGCGGACAGCCTTACCGGTTGTGGCGTCTCCATAGCTGAGGCTGAAGGAGGCGCTTCCACAGAGGGCGCCCAGGCAGCTGACGCTCAGCCGCTGCACCTCTCTGACGGGGGCGGCGGGACTCCACGAGTCAAAGGTCAGCACCTGAGGAGCAGCCAACCCCCATCAGAGACCAGAAAGAAGCTCAAATGTGGAAAACACCCCTTTCTTTAACACATTTCTCCTCTGGTTTGGGTCCAGTTCTTCTCTGGATGCACTTCAAGTCTTTATTCGGGTAAAAGTGCAACAGGATCTTTAACAGCAACAAAATCATACGTTAAATTATCCTTTTTTCACTTAATCAATTTAGATTTATTCAAATTAATATAAATTATCTTCAAAGGGAGCAGACAGAAGCAGATCTGCACTCGCCCAGATAAAAAGAAGAAGAAGAAAAAGAAAAACAAAAGAAGGAAGAAGAACAACGAGAAGAAAAAGAACAAGAAGAACAAGAATAACAAGAAGAAGAAAATGAAAAACAAGAAGAAAAGGCCACAGGGCATTCAGAAACACATACATTTCATTGTGCCCCCCCTCAGTATGACGGGGCCCGTACGGGGCAATACTAACAATAAGAAGAAGAAGAAGAAGAAGCCACAGGGCATTTAGAAACATATACATTAGCCCTGACCCGGCCCCCCCTGGACAGAAACCCTGGAAACCCCCCCATGATGGGGGGCTATTTCATTGTGACGGGGGCCCCACCTGCTCCTCGTCAGACGCCTGGTAGTCGGCCACGATGTGCTGCACCTCGTTGAGGGCGTCGAGGGTCTGCTCCCGGGTGAAGGGGCTCTGCTCCTGGAACAGGCCCAGGTCGATGTGCGCATGGCCACGGTATTCCATCTGCAGCAGCTCCAGGTAGTAGCTGCCCACACGAGGGACCAGGGAAAACAACAATTAGGGAGAAAATAACAAAAAATAAAAATAAAAATCTCCTTGATTTTTATTTTTCTGTTATGGATATTCTGAGAAAGTCAGAATAAGTGAGTAAAAATCAGACTGTTTTGCTGAATATTTTTAAAAAATATGGAGAATGTTCTACTTTTCTTTAGAATTCTGACTATTTTTTCAGATATTGAAAAGAAAATCTCCTGGATTTTTTTTCTTTTCATGTTTACGGAAATTCTGAGAAAAAAGTCAGAAAAATCAGAAAAGTAAGACTTTTTTCCAGATTAATTAAACTAAATTAATTTTTCCAGATAACTAAATTAATTATTAAAATTGGGAACAATAATCCTTTTCTCTTCAGAGATCAGACTTTTTTTTAAATATTGAAAAAAAGAGTATAATGTTTCGGAAATTCTGAGAAAAAAGTCAGGATAAGTCAGAAAAAAGTCAAGATAAGTCAGAAAAAGTCCGAAAAGTAAAATAAAAGTCAGAATAAGTCAGAAAAAGTCAGAAAAGTTTTTTTTAAAATGCCAGAAAAGTAATAAAAAAGTCAGAATAATAATACGTTTTCCATCTCCTTACGCTGTGCCGCCCTGCAGATGCATCACTTGGGACTTCTGGGAGTCCAGCTGGCCGTGGCTGCCCACATAGTAGGGCTGGAAGGCCACCCTGGCCTTGTGCTCCGGCCGGCTGGAGTTGCTCAGGTACAGCTCACACTTGTCGTCGCAGTGCAGGTAGATGGTGAAGTTCCCGGTGGCCGGCGGCACCAGGAAGCCGGACGTCCTGGTGCTGAAGCGGTCGAACTCCAGGGGGAAGCGGTGGGGCAGCGAGTCCAGCCAGTGCCACCAGTAGCCGGTGCTGTTGTCCGTGTAGGTCCAGATGTCGCTCAGGGTGTGGGACACCGTGTCGTTCCACACCTCCATCTTCAGGCCTCTGCCGCCTGGAACAAGTCAGAGGCTTCACAACTCTGCTTTCCACCACACAAATTCAGGTCTGTGAGCTTAAATCTGCTCTTTTCTATCAGGTCTCATGGTTAAAAAAAAGACTCCAGTTAAAGCTGTCCCTTTACCCCACGTTTTAAATCAGCCTCTTTTCCACTTCAAGCATCATATGGGGTCTGGGGGAGATTTATTCTAGTTCATTTCTGGGGGTAAAAAAAGTCAGAATTCTGACTTTGCCCAGAACATGGCAAAAAAAAATTGGATATATTTTTTCTGACTTTTTTCAGAAAAATCTAATTACATATTTTTTCTTTTCATGTTTTGAAAATTCTGTGGGGGGAAAAAAGTCAGAAAAAGTCAGACTTTCTTCTCTGAGTTCTCCCAGACCCCAGAATTTTCTGCATGGACAGCACATAAATAATTATAAAATACATTTCCACATTGTGGCTGGAATGAATAAAAGACTAATTTACACTATTGGTAGCATTCAGCAGCTCAAAAGCTGAGGCCATAAAATAACTGCTGTATCTATTTGTTTTCCTTGGAGGGGGGGGGGGGTAGTTAATTCTGATCTTAACTCCTTTTACAGACAATAAAAAGAAAAGCTCAGAAGACTGCACAGGCGTGCTCTGGATGCCTCTTTGTGAGCGGCCAATCAGGGGCCGGCGCTCACCTGGATACAGGCCCAGGTGGTCAGCGGGCGGCTCGGGCGTCAGACAGGTGATCCTGCTGTCAGACACCGTCTGGACTTCACAGGGCTGACCTGGAAGAGGAGGACGTCTGGATTTATCAGGTGAATCATTCTTAATTTTCACATTTTCAAAGATCAGAACAGAGATTTATTTTCAAGGCTAAAGATTAGATTTTTCTTTATTTCATGATTAAATGGAAATTTTTTCAAATAAATGTAAGATTTAAAATATGTTGTTATCTTGCCGAAAACTTTTTAAATAAATTGAATGCTTTTAATATTTTTCGCTAAATTGAAAAAATAAACAAAAATATATATTTTGTTAAATCGCCAAACAGTTTACATTTCTAAAAATCATTTGAATTTTTTCTTCTTATTTTTAGATTTTCTAAATGAAGTTCTTACTTTTAATATTTTTGTTCAATTGGAAAAAAACTAAAGTATTGATTGAATATCTCTTATATTTTGTTTAATGGCCAAACAAACAATTCAGATTATTTATTTATGATCGTTTACACTTATGGAGCCACCCTGTAACAGAAATATGTTCCTCAGCCTTTTCTGGGGCCTGAAAAGGCCATAAAGGCGTTCATGGGCCGCCTGGTATCGGCTGACACTAAAGAAGCGTGA